GTGAGGGAAGATTTCTCTGACCTGAATGTTTGTAGAGGATAAATTTGCAGAGAGTCTAGGCCTATGAGCACAGATGGACCCATGAAGGAAGGACCTAGCACTGAGTGGGAAAGAAGTCCAAGGGCACCCTGCCATGCCCAGTGACTTCTCAGGTAGAAATGACCTGCTCCAGGTCTTCTCAGTGACAGAACCGGGATCCTTTACTGTCAGAGCTGGACTCAGGGACTCAGATTCTAAGATGAAGTGATGGGACTATTCTGTGCCTGCTAACTGGCAACAGAACAAGTCGAGAAAATAAAATGCATATTTTTTTAGAATATATGAAGCACAGTTCACTGGTGGAACATTAACCATATTGAAACACCTCTGAAAAGAAGTGGAAACCACTGAGAAGTAGAAGTGATGGAGTAGCTGTCATTCAAGGAGGGAAATTTCCTAACTGTCCCTGTACCTTGTAGGCAGAATGATCTTCACCTTTCTTGGGGCTTCTGAAAGAAGATCTGCACATGGCTTGTGGAAACACAGCCTAAATTACACTGTGGCTGTCCTGTACAAGGTTTTATTTAACACTGAACAACCTAACCTTTAGAAAAGTTAAAAACAAAAGGAGTAATATATGAATATCAAGTTATATACTGTTTATAAATAAATATCTATGTTTTCATATATATATATATATATATATATATACACACACACACAAATGTAGCAATAGGATAAAACACTTAAGAAATGATAACAAATGATAAATATCACGTTCACTTCTAGTAAACAACCTAGCTGCTTCCAGAGGTGGTGTTAGGTTAATTGAATCAAGACAGAATACACAAGAGGTTTCCATGACATCTGTAGGATTTTCTTTAAGCTGCATGATAAATATATGAGTGGTCATTTTATTATTATCTATATGCCTGAAATGAAATATTCTTTGAACACTTGAATATAGTTCTTTATTTTTTAAGTCTTATTGAGATGTAGTTCACGTACATAAAATTTACCCATTTAAAATATAGAATTCAAATGGTTTTGTGCATACTCAGAGAGTTGCCTAACTATCACAATATAATTTTAGAGCATATTCCTCACCCCCAAAATTTTGAAGCCCTATAACCCTTAGCAGTCAACCCATCCCTTCTTCTCACCCTGAGACCTACTTTCTGTCTCTATAGATGCATGTATTCTGGACAATTCATATAGACAGAATCAGACAATCTGTGTTCTTTTGTGACTGAATTCTTTCACATAGCATGATGTTTTCAAAGTGTTTCCATGTTGGAGCATCTATCAATACTTCACTCTTCATGACTGAATAATATTCCACTGTATGGATATATCACATTTTGCTTATCCATTAATCAACTGACAGACATTTGAGTTGTTTCCACTTTTTTGTTGTTATAAATCATGCTGCTATGAATATTTATGTACAGGTTTTTATGCAGACATTTTTTTTTCATTTCTCTTGGGTATAGACCTAGGAGTAAAATTTCTGGGTCCTGTGGTAACTCTACATTTAAATTTTTGAGGAACTACAAGACTACACAAGACCTCTTTCAAAAATGCCTTCACCATTTTACATTCTCACCAGTGACGTATGAGGTTTACAGTTTCTCCACATGCTCACCAACACTCGCTCTTGTCTTCTTAATTTTAGTCATCCTGGTAGGTGCGAAGTGGTTTTCTCATTGTGGTTTTGATTTTCACTTCCCTAATGCTTAATGATGTGAGTACATCTTCTCATGTGCTGTTTATTGGCTGTTTGTTTATCCTTTGTGGAGAAATAACTATTCAAATCCTTTGCCCATTTAAATTGGGCTTTTTGTCTTTTGATTATTTAGTTGCAAGAGTTATTTCTACATTCTGGCTACAAATCCCTCATCAAATATACCATTCACAAATATTTTCTCCTAGTCTATGGTTTGCCTTTTTACTTTATCAGTGATATCCTTTGAAACAGAAAAGTTTTTAATTTTGATGATTTTTGATGAAAAATTTTTATTTTTTCTTTTGCTGCTCATGCTTTTGGTACCACGTCTAAGAAACCATTACCTAGCCAAAGATGACAGAAAGTAACTCCTATGTTTTCTTCTAAGGTTTTATAGTTTAGGTTCTTACCTTTGATTCTATAACCCATTTTGAATTAATTTTTGTATATAGGTAAGATAAGGATCTAAGTTCTTTCTTTCACATGTGGATCCACCTGTCCCAGCACCATATGTTGAAAGCACTATTCTTTCCCAAGATAATCACTCTTTTTAATGAAAAGAGCTTTCTCTCTTTTTCTGAAATTTTTTAAACAGGTCATAACCGTATTAGACTAGGGCCCACCCTAATGACCTCATCTTAAACTTGATAATCTGCAAAGATCCTATTTCTAAATAAAGTCACATTCACAGGTACTGGGGGTTAGAACTTCAACATATTTTGGGGGAATGCAATTCAACCCACAATAGTAAGTATGATATCTTGAAGAAATGTTGCTCTATTATGTACTCTAAGGGATGTACTATTGGAGACACAAGGTAGGCCAATACTGTGTGAATGGAGGAGGAGTCTCTGCTAAAGGAAGTAGATACTACACCAAGTCATCCATAAAGGTAAAAGGTGGGAACAAAAATTGGGGAAGACAGGCCTGAATTGGATTTGAGAAGGAAATTTCTTCCTCTCTCTGAACCTTGACTTGGGTTTAGGCTCTGGGGAACTGAGGCATGTATAAGTTGTTTCTGGGTGGCAGTGGAAACCTGGCCTCTTCCTTAAGTGGGAAGAATGGGCTCTATACATAAAAGCGGTCCTACGGAGGCCGGAGGAGCACAGACTGAGAACCAAGGGGTCTAAGAACAGCCATGGAAAAAGGCCAGTTATTGTAAGTTATTCTCTATGTGGAAGTCCCTCTGCAATCCCCAGTGTTCAACAAAGTTTTAATAAACTCACAGCTTTGTTTAATACTAAAGAAAAAGTCTATGTTCGTGCTTGGACTATAATGCTTAAAGGGAGGCGGACGAACAGTGGTGGACACTCTACCCACAGGTGTGTCCAAGAACCAAAAATTGCAGGTGACAATCTACACTCACAATGGTTAAGTCACCTGCAGTAGCCCAGGCTGACAGATGAGCCCTCATGAAAAGCCCTCCTGAGAATTCTCAGATGGCAGACTCTGAGTATAGTATAGGTATTCATGTGACCTAACTTTTACCAACTACCTGCTGAGAGATTCAGGTTACTTGCTACTGTGGCTTAAATGACTGAAAGTACCAATCATTTAGGAAACTGTTCTATATCATTAAAACTATATACTAAGAGACAAATTCACTAAAGAAGAAAATTACACTTTTCTAAGAAGCAAAGGCAACTTATTTTGTAATTGTCCACATCATTGTGACTATGATGCCAGTGTTTAGTGATCAGACTTTCCTGAACTCTTGAAAGTGGACACAACTGAGACCAAGGGCCACACCTGGAGAGCCACTGCTGGAGAGAACGTTGTCTCAAATGTGTAGCATCCTGAGACTGACAGGGACACCTGTCTGGGCAAGATAGTCCAGCACCTATTCAGACCAGTTCATGCATAGCCACCTAAGTCATGGCCATCCACTACCGCCTCCCATCCTAGAGAAAGTATTACTGTCTGGAAAACACAGCTGAGCTCTCTGCCCTGTATCCTGACTTCCACCAAATCCTTTGGGTGAGAAAACTCTGTTGGATTTTCCCAGGTCTTTTATTTCTCTAATATTTATATATTTTATGAAGGTGATCAAACAGGTGATACCAACAAAATCCATACTAAACACATTCTCAATTGTAAAATATTAGAAGAATTTTTTTTTTACATCAGGAAAAGGAAAAGAACATCTGCTATCATCATTCCTCTTCAATATTGTCGTTGTCAGTTCTGGCAAGCACTGGAGACAGACAAATGAAACAAAGTTTAAGTGTTCGCTGAAAGTCAACCTGCCTGATCATTTCACTGGGAGACCTGCAATATCAGTATCTTTAGGTCTCTTCTTGAGCTGGTCAGATTCTCAGAGAAGAACAGTCCAAACAGCTGCCAGGAACAGTAAAGATGGCAGAGGTTCTAGCACTTCACTGATGTCAATGACCATTAAGCCTCTTCTTTCCACTGAGCCTCTCCTTGTCAGGTTCCAGGATCCTCTCTTCACCTTAATAACCAGCTCGAGCTTGGGCAGAGGAGGGCAGTGGATCAGGGTACTGCTCAACCGGTGTCACCATCCTCCACATGATGGTCTCCCCTCCTCACCAGTTCCAGAGGGACTTGGCACTGATGGGCCCCTACTGTATGAAGATTCTACAACGTAAATTGTGATGCTTCGGATTCCACCGCTGCAGTAGCAGGGCTAGAGCACTCTTGAGCTGCTGAATCATGTTCCATCCTGTGGAGAAGACCTTTATTCATCCTCTTCCCCGGGCTCCCTCCAGGTGTCTGCTATTGTGAACCTTCTGGTACACATCTCTTGGGACAGGTGTGGGAAAGCTTCTCTTTGGAAAGACCTTTCAGAGGAGAGGCCAAACCTCAGTGTGGTTTTACTAATGACAGTACCATCAGCGACGGAAAGAGATCCTGAATTTCCAGCTGAGCTGACTTTAACACCCAGCCCCTGGGGACGGCTTGATGTGAGTCAGCGGAAAAAATAAAGCTGTAAGTAAGACCCTGTCGCTCCCCACACCCTGCAGGACCAAATTCCTCGCGTGCACGTTCGCGTGCATGTTTGGAGGTTTTCCCTGACAAACTGGGTTGAACTTCCAACCACACTTGTGAACTTCCTTCCAGAGTAACTGACAATTCAATTTCTGAAAGTAAAAGAGTATACTGGGGCCTCTGGGATTTGTAGTCCTGGCGGCGGCTGAGCGCGGGGCTCCTTGGTATCTGTAGGCAGAGGCGCGCTCTGCGCATGCGGAAGCCGGTGCCACGCGGAAGCCGGTACCACGCGGGCCTTTGTCTTGCTGGTTGCAGCCGCATCCGGGGCAGCAGTGTTTGCCGTGTGGAGGGCGGCAGCCGGACCAGGCCCAGAGACCCTGTTCTGGGAAGGGACGCTGGGGAGACCTGCGGACTTCTTGCCTCACTGGGCCATGCGGTTTCCAAACTAGAGTGGATCTAACAGCTGAGGCACGGTAAGAGACGGGGAAGAGAGGCCTTCTGCTGAAGCACCTGTCCTTGCTACAGGGAGTACTGACTCACGGAGCCAGAAGGCTCTCCAGATTAGGGCAAACCAGAGATCAGGAAGGGCTGTTGGAAATGCAGGACGGGCACTTAAAGCCGGTTACAGCCTCCCACAAGGAGAGCCTCCTTATGGAAATGAGCTGGGAACCCAGTGGGCTGGGCACAGAAGATAGTCTGTGCTCAGGGGTTTCACAAAAGCGAGACTCTGCAGATGCTCTCCGTGAATGTGATTCACAGGAACCAAGTAAAGACACCTTGGTTCATGCAGGGAAGACCCTCTACAAATGCAAAGAATGCGGGAAACTGTTTAACAAGAATTGCCGCCTCGTTCGGCATCAGCGGATTCACACTGGAGTGAAGCCTTATGGTTGCCAGGAGTGTGGGAAAGCCTTTCGTGAAAAGGTGGACTTTGTCCGGCACGTGAGGATTCACACTGGGGAGAAGCCCTACAAGTGTGCAGAGTGTGGGAAGGCCTTCAGCCGGAGGTCACACCTCATGTACCACCAGCGGATTCACACTGGCCAGAAGCCCTACAAGTGCAGTGAGTGTGGAAAGACCTTCAACTACCACTCTGTTTTCGTCCAGCATATTATGACCCACACTGGAGAAAAACCCTTTCGTTGCGAAGAATGTGGGAAAGCCTTTCACTACAACTCTTCCTTAACTCGGCACATGAAGACTCACACCGGGGAGAAGCCCTACAAGTGCAGAGAATGTGGAAAGACCTTCACCTACTACTCTGTTTTTTTCCGACATGGGCAGACCCACGCCACACAAAAGCCCTATAAGTGTAAAGACTGTGGTAAAAGTTTTTACTATGGCTATTCCCTCTCTCGACACAAACGGAGTCACACTGGAGAGAAGCCCTATGAGTGCAAGGATTGTGGAAAGGCCTTTGCCCACCGCTCTGTGTTTGTCCGGCATACTAAGACCCATGCAGAGAAAAAACCTTTGAGTGCAAATAATGTGGAAGAGCCTCTTGTGAAAGCTTTTCTTTCTCTTGACATTTGAGCCCTGCAATAGAGAAGCGCTCTGAATGCAGTGACTACACGAAAGCCTTGTGGTCCTCACTCAGCATCAGAGATTTCATGCTGGAGAGAAACTCTCCGAATGTAAGACACGTGGGAAGACCTTCTGCAGGTGGGCCTACCTCAGTCAACATCAGAGCGCTTCTACTGGGAAAAGACCTTTCGATTATAACTGCTAAGGAAAACCGCAGGGCCACAGGAACTATCTTTACTTGGCATCTGAGAATTCATTCAGAAGAGAAGCCTCTTGGTTATCGTGCATTTAGAACAGAACTTCTGCCACAGCTCTCTCCATAGGTTATATCACTGAACCATCTCAGGAATATTTGGAGAAGAACGAGGAGGAGGGTGCTGTAGAAGAGAAAAGAAAAATGTATACATAGCTTCTTTCAGACTTTTTGAAAGCCAAGCCTATGAAGATTTGAATTTGGTTCTTTATTTTGAGGATAGCTGAAAGGTAAAAGGGCTTGGACCCTTTATTTGTCTCATATATAGCAATATAGTAGCTAAGTCTTGAGCTGCTGTTGTATCCTGTCCCTGCCCAGGACTTCAGTCCTTGCCAGCTCGGAACTGAGAGTTTTGGTTCCAGGAGCTGGAATATGTGTGTGTGTGTGTGTGTGTGTGTGTGTATGTGTGTATATATATATATATTCACATCTGTCTGTGAGGGGCGAGTTGGGCAGTTGAAGGATGCTCTATAAAGATTTGTTGAAAGCACTCTTTGTTTTAAAACATTGTCTCTGATCTTGAGGACCATAAGTCTTTGTGAGAAACAGGCAGGCTTAAGACATTAAATACTTGAAACTTCTAAGAAATTAGAATATTAAAAATAACAGCCACATAGAATTATTTTCTGTTTAAGGAGATAAGGATCCATATGTGAATGGGCACATTTTACTGCATCCTTTAAGACTATTTAAGGCTTTCGGGTTTTTTGGGTTTTTTTTTATCTCTTTCTTCAGGTGACCCTGAACACCCAGCAGTTTCATTTTTTTTCTGGACATCAGTGCACTTGTTTGTTTTGATTCAGGGACGTGTTTTGATTCATGCTCCTGTAGCTGTGCCGGCTCCCCACGTGAGCCTTAATTCTCTCCTCTGTGATCTCCCAGCCTCCTTAGTCATGCGTAGGTAGAAGAGCTTCTCTAAACCGTGTCAGCAGTTTTCTAGAGGTTAAACTAGAGGTACAGCAAACCAGATAAAAGACAGCTAACTTTTAGCTAATGAAAAACTTAGGAACAATTTTTAAATTTAAAAAATGCATACAGTGTATTAAAATGTAAAACATGCAGACCCTTTGACATTTAATTCAATTTCTAGCAATTGAGCCTAGAGAACTGTTCTCACAAATGTACAGATATGTGGACAAAAAAATATCACTGTGACTTTGTTTTTATATATGAAACAAAGGTTTTATATTGTTTTCTTTTGAATATCTTGAAAATGTCTTATGTTGAAAACAATCTAAATGTCCATCAGTAGGGAAGTTACGGTACATCTGTTCTATGATATACTGCAGAACAGTAAGGTATCTCTGTATATTGCAATGTTAAAACATCTCCCAGGTCCAGTGTTAGGTAAAAGAGCAAGTTGCAGGAAATAAGTCTAGATCTGGAAAGATGGCCTTGACACTGTTAACAGTGACTATCCGTGAGGAATGAGATGGATCAGGGTTGTAGGGAACTTTGAGTTTTTACTTTATATAGTATACTTTATATATACTGTATTGTTTGCAGTTTTAAAAAACAAAGAGCGTGTATTCTTTTTGCAATAAATGTTTTGAATATTTTAATAAAAATGGCACCTTGAGATAAAAGTGACTCCTCTTATTTCTCATAAAGCATGAATTTTATTACAGGATTTTTAAAGTCCTGGTGTTACTATGCCTTAAAAAATAAAACAGCTGAAGATAAGAATTCAGAGCTACTTGGCCACACTTAATAAATGAT